TATCAGCCCTGTGCCCCATGCTATGTATACCCAGGACTCCAGCAAGGCTGGCTGCTGGCCTGCTCCTTTGGTCCTAGCAGTGCACGAAGGCAGCCTGACACGTTAATGGCTCAGATACGCTTTGGCAGAAAGCCATCCTTTAAACTTTCAATTGTGGTTAAGACCACTTCTTTAGAGTGGTTTTTGAATTTACCGCAAATGTAGGTTTGATTATTATAATATGGCATGTGATAACAGAAAGCTAAATTACAATTCAAAAGAAACGTATTGTTTTGGGTATTAACACTCAAGCAGAAAGGCATTTCCTTATTCATGCAGTGGTGTTATTAGAAACATTTTGGAAAGCTCTTCCCCATTCTGAACGTACAAATTTTAATCATTTTATTATTTTTGCTTATTGAATATTCTCCCTTTTAACTCAATGTCCTATTTTACATGTTTTAAAATGATAATTGTTATTTTTAATTTTTCCCCCTTAGGGACAGGCTCCTTTGAAACAGCTTATCTTCTTACCCAAATCATAGCCTTTCCTTTATGCATTAGACTTTCTTTGGGCTGTCCTATCCATAAGTGTTCTGATCTACAGTTCTTAAAAGGGAAATAAAGGGTTGATGCACCTCAAATCCAAATACTTTAGAATAGCAAGCCGTGTGTGTATTAGAGGTTTGGCTGTTTAAGAGATTAGCTGAGCATGGTTTAATGGAGGTTGGGCTGGTAGTGTGTCTGTATAATTTCTACCAACAGAAAAATGAAGACTGCAAAACCTCTTTGTTAAACTGAACATCTCTGTGTAGACTCTGGGTCCTTTTCAACTCAGAAAAAAAATGTACTTTGTAGAAAATGACTGGTAGTGTAAACACTAAAGTCATGAAACTTTCATAGTTCCCACTGCAGTTGTAACTTATTCCCCTTGTTCAGGGAAAATGAAAGATTAATTGTCAAATTTATACAATATATACATGCAGTCGCATACATGCCTATATACTTAAATGTGTGCGGTAGCCAGGTGTGGCTCCCATAGCAGATGTCTTGGGATATTCTGAATTTTATGTATTTATAGCTATAGAAAACACCTTCCATTATTATTATTATTATTATTATTATTTTTGGATAGGTTTGTCACCACCAGGTTTCATGTCAAGCAGGATTAGGCCAGCAGTTTGGTAGGAAATTAGTGCTTCTCTGAGTGTAGCCTTTTAATTCTGATGTAATTTCAATTTATAGAAAAAGTGCAGAATATTACAAAGAATTTCCCCCAGATACTACAAGTATTAACATTTTTACCACATTTGCTTTCTTCTTCTCTCTCCCCCCCCTCCCCCAACCATTTGAGGGAAGAAGCAGACATGCCCTAAATACTAAAGCTGGCATTTCTAAAAATAAGGACATTCTGTTAACCTCTGTACAGTTACCAAAACCAGAGAATCAAATTGATATAATTCTGTTCTCTAATCTGGTTTTATTCAGATTTTATCAGTTGTCTAAGCAGTGTTCTATATAGCAAAAGTAAATTCTAGATAGTATGTTGCATTTAGTTATCGTGGTTCATCAGTCTCTTAATCTGGGCCAGTTCCTTGTTTTTTGTGTGCCTTTCATAACTGATGCTTTTGTTGACAATTCCACAATTTAGATTAATGTTTCTTCATGTTTAGATTCAGGTTCTGCATTTGGGGGGCAGTAATATCATAGAAGTGACACTTTGCTCCTCTTGATGCATCACAATAGGAGTCACTTGATGTCAGTTTGTCCCAGTCATTTTCTTGATACATGAAATTGGAGTATACGTGAAACACTCATCGTCTCATTGCTGCCTCTTGCTGAAGCCATCCATAGGTTTTCAGGTGCATAATTTTCATATAAGGTCTTTATATGTGATGTCAGTGGATGTCATTGGTCTCACAACTCAGTTGTGCCATCTGGACAATGAGGCTTGTGGCTACTGCAGATTTACCGTGGGAAAAATCCATCCCCAGGTATGGATTTTTGGAAAGGTACCCTTAACCTGGTAATAATATTGGAGATACCCAAAAAGCCAGATACTGAGAATGGCTGGAGGTGATGGTCTCAGTCACCCTGCATTTATATCTTTCCACTATTCCTGCTTCTTTACAAACTTGCTGATAGTGTGTTATAAAGTTGTTTGTTTGCTTTTAATTATTGAAAAAGAAAAGACACAATAAGTGAATTTTAAAAATCAAGGAAACGGTGCTTTTCAAATGTTCTATCCAGTAGAGGAAAAAGAAGGGGAACATGTTACTCTACCTGATGGGGCCATAGTATATTCTATTTGTGAAACATGTTACATACATGTGATAGTCCAGGAGAATACCTCATGCCTTGATCATTTTTGTTACAGCAGCCAAGGTCCATTGGTTACACCTGGAAAGTTTTAAGCAGTATTGCTATTTAATGTGGTTCCTAGGGTAAGAGCAAGTTCAAAACTAGTAATTGAAGTATGACAAAGGCTGACATGTCTTGCTCAAAGTTGTGTGACTTAATAGGCTGTTTTCCATTTCTTTTTTGCAAATACTGCATCAGTGGACCTACTAAATGATTTCATGAATTTTCTCAGAAAACCCCTTTTTGTATTCTTCCCCCATTCCAAGAGATAAGTTACCATTAGTTTTAATGATAAATGGGCATATGATGGAATATGCATTAAAAGGAGAATTGGGATGCACTCAACAATTACTGGAGATGCTGTATTATATACTGAAGAAGCAATTTGATGTTACTAATGTTGGTAAGATTCCTAGCCTGAGGATGATTCCTGACTGAGGATAGAACGGTGCATCAGTGTTGAAATGCTGTTCACGTTCAGTAGGCAAACGATTGGGTTCTGTTGTTCATGTTTCCTATGGGGTAAGAGTGGGTGTTGGACAAGTGTATTATGTAATCGTTGACATGTAATGTATATTCCAAAGAAGACCATTGTTAACATTAAGTTGTTAATCTAATTTTGAAACCATTGCAGAGCAGCAGGAAGAAAATTTACATTTGAATTCAGAATGTAATCAACTAGTCATGTAATAAACCTCTGTTAGGCCCTGTGTTAGATCCCAAAGGGCGCTTGGTGGTTCGAGTATTAGTAGCTACTACAAAGGGTAGTGGCATCATGGAAAAGTTTTATCTCATTTGTTAAGTGTAAAATTTTCAGCATTATAAGTCCTTAGGTAGATTCTTGCCACATCTCACTTTGTTTCTCTTTATAAAGTTAACTCTGCTCTTAAAATATATATGCAAAGAAGTGTTTTAAAGATGTCTTAAACCCCGTGGGTTTTGTAAAATATTCTATGTCTAACCTAGTGAGGCCGTTTTATTTTAATCATATGCTATAATGCTACATTTAATTACTTTCTAAGGTTCAAAAAAATTTTTTCTATGAAAAAATATTTAGGAGTAGATTTTTGCCTTTAAGTCCATAACTGCAGTTCATGGATTAGCCAGCAGTTCAGCGTTTTAAAACCTGTGGTCTTCAGCAGCTTTGCTGATGTTACTACTGAAACGTTGCATTTTTTTTTTCCATTTTAATTTTAAAAATTGAATATTCTATAGTATAAAATCAAAGAGAATAATAAGTCTTTCTTCTTAAAGAAATGTGGATTATTTGCTCATTTTTTGGTGCTACTTCAACTGAAGCCACTTTTCAATATTTCAGGGTAATGAAAATACCAAAAAATTCAAAGTCACAGACACCCATTGATTATACATTATGAGTTTATAGACAGTGTCATATAGCATTAAATTACTCAACAAAATGAACTGCATGACCCTGGCCAGTTTGGCTCAGTGGTTAGAGCGTTGGCCAGTGGACCGAAGGGTCTCGGGTTCGATTCCGGCCAAGGGCACATACCTCCGTTGCAGGCTCCATCCCTGTCCCCGATTGGGGCACATGAGGGAAGCAAACAATTGATATGTCTCTCTCACATCGATTTCTCTCCCCCCCCCTTCTCTCTCCCTCCCACTCTCTCTGAAAAGCAATGGAAAAAATATCCTCTGGGGAGGATTAAAAAAAAAATGAACTGCTTGGGATTCTAAGACTTTTATCATCAAAGTTAATAACTTTATGGCACATCACAAATACAGAGAAATCTTAAGTCAAGTTAGGCTCCACGGCCTGTAACTGTGATTATGAACAAGCTACTTAACCTGTTTATAACTGCAATGTTGCTTAAAAAAGAAAATGAAATTTTATGGGTTTTTCAAGTGCCGTGCCTCCAGTTCTCTTTCAGAAAGATCTGATTTCCTATTTAAAGGAAATAGTAGGTTACCACATAGGAGTTAGTTTCTTCTCAAACTTATTTGTCTTTATTAACATCATACTTAATTCCTTTATTTAGTTATTTTGGCCTAACCAGTTATAGCTAAAAAATAGTACTACAGCTCACCCCTGAGTAACTGGCTTTGCCCCCTGCCAGCCGGTCGAGGTGCTCCTGTCAGTCCATTTAGCCCCTTCTTCAGGAAGCACACACACCATGGGCTGGCTGGGTTAGCAGGTGCGTCTGAATCTCAGTTCTTCCTGCCATTTACCTTGTGGCATTGGGCAAGTTGCTTTCTACATCTTTTAAAATGGGTGCATACGTACTGCACAGGATCACTTTATAACGATTAAAGAGGGTAGTGTGTAAAAAATGGATAGCTTCGCGCCAGCATCTGATAAGCACCGAGCTGTGCACACCCTCGGCTGTGTTTCTCTGGGTGCTGCGGATAGTGGGGGGGTCTTTGGGTCGTGGTCCTGCAGGCACCCGAAGTCCTCGCCTGGCGGGAGGGCCGCGTGTGCACAGGGGTGTGTGAGGCCTACTCAGGCGGCGCCTCTTTTGCTTAGGAACCACTTTTGTGTTCTGCTGTTCCTGGGCTTAGATGCTTGCGAAGGGCACCTCTTTTCCCTGGCAGGTGGGGCTGAAGAATATGCTATGAAGGAGCCCTCATGCTTCCTGAAGGGCTTGCTATGGAGTGTGTTGTATGCCTGTTTAATTTTTTTTTTTTTTTTTTTTCCCCAGAAAATTTGGTGAGCGGCCTCCACCCAAACGACTCACGAGGTAAGTGCCGCGTGGGCCAGCCTTTCACCCGACACACCGGCGAGCTGTCCCCTCGTTTCCAAATCTCTTAGGTGCTCTTGAAAAGGAGTTATTAATGTATTGGTATCTAGATTGTAAGCTTGTTCCCACCCTCCCTACCCCCCATAAAATAACAGGGTGAGAGGATATATGTCAGAGGGGAAATGAAACCTTTGAATAACTCATCTTGGGTATTATATAGTTAATATAGCAAGGGCTACAATGTAAAAACCGTTTCCCATATCTGGTTGCATTTAGACAGTCACAATTTGTTGATGATAAGTGGGACTTGAAAGATATTTAATAAATGCTTTTAGAAAAGAATTTTATAGAAAACACAAGATTGTACCCACTTTAGTGAGTCTGTAAATATACTGTGTTTTAATTATATAAATTAATTTTATAATATTTTAATTACAAATCTTAAATTTAAAAGTATTAATTTTGAAGGTGATTTTTTAAATTTCTAACAGTGGTTATAAAATAAAAAGTAAGACACCCAGTTCTACAGTGTCAGTCCTGGAGTTAATGCTAACCCTGCATTGTGAGTGCCTTTCAGGAGGATCGTAAGCATGCATAAACACATGCCTGTCCCTTTTCTTTTTATCTGACATCATACTTGGCCAGTGTTCTGCACATCATCTTCCTCATTCTCTACATTGTCTTCACACTGCTTTTATTTAGTTTTCACATTAATGGCCATTTGGGTAATATCCACATTTTTCCTATTATTAAAAAAGCTGTTGCACTCAAAGAATGATGGAGACATGCCAAAGGGATTCAAAGGGAGCCAGCTTGAAGAGGCTTCCGTTTAGCCTAGTCATGGGCACTTTGATCATCAAAATAAATAATGATAGTAATGGATTAAAATCCATATAATAAAATGACAGTTTAGAAGTCTACACTGAGTTAAAAAATGATTCAGTAAAATGAAGCAGAAGAGATAGCTTTTCCATACAGAAGAAATCCACCTAATGTAGAAGGAATGATGGAACCAGGAAATCACACTTTGGGAACCACTACAATCATAATTGTTTTAGGCAAAAATCATCAGTGACTGCTTAGTGTGTCCTCACAAAGTGTGTATCATTATAAAGCGAAAAACAGGAACGTCAATGAAGAAACCTGGCAGACATCACCTTAATTTAGTTACGGAAATTAACTCCACCAGCAATGGACAAATAAATGTTTTGTGCATCCTGAGAAGGACACAACATTACTACTTATGTGGTGTTCTTGCCAAAAATGTGTAAGCTAAATATAAGCATAAGGAAACATCGGACACATTTAAATGAGGGGCATTCTGTAAAATAAATGATATTTACTCTTCAAAAATTTCAAGATCAGCCTGGCCGGGCATGGCTCAGCAGTTGAGCGTCGACCTAGGATCTAGGCGATTGGGGTTCGATTCCCAGTCAGGGCACATGCCAGGATTTTGGGCTCCATCCCCAGTCGGGGACGTGCAGGAGGCAGCCAATAAATGACTCTCATCATTGATGTTTCTCTCTCTCTCTCCCCCTCTCCTTTCCTCTCTCTGAAATCAATAAAGATATATTAAAAGAAAAAAATTTCAATATCATTCAAAACCAAAGACTGAGGAATAGCAGATTAAAGAAGACCAGTAAGACATGACAACTAAATTCAGCTAAATCCTGGACCAGAAAAAGTTTTCTTTTTATCTAAAGCTAGAGTCAGAAAACATTTCCTGTAACGGGCCAGATAACAAACATGTTAGGCTTTTTGAGCCACAGTGAGTCTGTTTCGACTTCTCAACTCTATTCTTATATTCCTAAATTAGCCACAGAAAACGTGTAAATGAATGGCATGTCTGTTCCAGCTTAACTTAATTTAGAAAAACTTTTGGCCACCCTGATTTTGCCTCAGGGCAATAGTTTCTCAACATTGCACCCCCACCCCCAAATAATGGATATTGGTGGGACAGTGGCAGTGGCAACTTGTGAATAAAATCTGTAAATACAAATATTGTATGAGTGCTATTGCATTGTGATTGTATAAGAGAGTATCTTTGTTTTAGGAAATAAAGACTAAAGTATTTTGGGTAAAGGGATTTTATATCTACAGTGTGCTCTTAAATTATTTCAAAACAGTATACAAATATGGTAAAATGTTAACATTTGGGGAATCTGGGGGAAAGGGGACTAGGAATTTTTTGTACTACTTTTGCAACTTTTCTGTAAGTCTGAAATCCAATATTTTTTTGAAAAATCCTTTAAAAAGGCATTACATAAATATTCCACATGAAGTGGGCTGGAAGACTATAACTTGTCTCACAGACTCATGTAAATATATTTTCACTTATTTTTATATCTTTTGAAAAAATCCTAGGTGGAGTTTCCGAATTCACATGTATAGGCAATTTAAAATTTAATTGATAAATATTTTTATTTCATTACTAGCAGCAGTAGGTTGGAGTTGACTTTTTTTTTTTAATGTATCTTTATTAATTTCAGAGAGAGGAAAGGAGAGGAAGAGAGAGAGATAGAAACATCAGTGAGGAAAGAGAGTCATTGACTGGCTGCCTCCTGCACGCCCCCGACTGGGGATCGAGCCCACAACCTGGGCATGTGCCCTGACCGGGAATCGAACCCCGATCGCCTGGATCTTAGGTCGACGCTCAACCTCTGGGCCATTCCCGGCCGGGCAGAGTTGACTCTTAATAATAAAATATATTTTGATGAATAAATTAGTTACTTGAATGAATACCTCTGTAAAAATAGCAGTCATTACAGTGATAATGAGTATGAGGAAAATTCCTTTCCTTAAATACATACAATAATATAGTTAGGTCCCATCTACATGATCATGATTTTCCATTTACCCTGGAAGCAATTTTCCCTGTTTGGAAAATTTTAGTAGCTTTTAGGACTTCCACTTCTGGCCAAGATTGAGTAATAGAGACTGGAATTACTCTCTGGCTTGAAACAACTAAAAACCTGGACAAAATATATGAAACAGTGGTTTTCAAGATATTAGGTGGCAGGCAAGAAAGGGCAGTGATCCTTGAGAGACAGGAGACAAATGAGGTGAACCCTGAGGTTGCTCCAGTTTAGTGCCTGGAGAGAGTTTCCAGGACCTGATATAGGGAGGAATCAAGTGGAACCTAATAAGCACCTTGAGTTGAGATGGAGCCTGGAATCTTGGGAGGCCAAGGTGGCTGGACTTTCCAGGGCATAGAACTGGAGAGGAAAGTGCTGTGCAGAGTTTCCTCTACCTTCAGCTTTGTATTGATCAGCACGTGTGTGAGGAAACTACTCAAGGTTGGGGGGAAACCAACCTAAAGAATTAGAGGAAAGAATTCCTAAAGCTCACTCAGTACTACAAATTGTACCTGTTCCAGTAACCAGTGTGGAAAAGCCTTATGATTCTTGTGCATCAACTGGAGTACTCAGGATGGTTTGCTTCAGCAGTGGTTAGGCCTAGACCACATGTTGCTCTGGTTTCACCTAGCAACTTAAAAACAAGATTAAAAGGATCACACTCTTTCCAGGTAACTGTGTACAGAACAAAGCTCAAGAATATTTACAGGAATAGACAGATATCTAGCATTTGAAAAGGTAAAATTAATTATTGAGTCTTAATATGTAGTCAAAACATACCGTTCATACAAAGAAGCAGGAAAATATGGCCCATAATGAAGAGAAGAATCAGTCAAAACCAACCCAGAAATGACAGATGATAAAATTAGACATTAAAACAGTTTATCTTTGTCTTCTATATGTTTAAGATGCTTAGATCAGGAGTTTACAAAATTTTTCTTTAAAGGGTCAGATGGTAAATAGTGTCCTTTTTGTGTGGCTCATACAGCCTCTGTTGTAACTACTCAACTCTGTTGTAGCATAAGAAGAGCCATAGATAATATGTAAACCAGTGGAATATAACTTTATTTCTAAAATAGATAGTGGATTGGATTTGGCCTACAGGCTTTAATTGCACATCCCTGAGCTAGGAGAGAGATTAAACAAGTTAAACAGAGTACACGTGGAAGATAAAAAAGGGAAGATCCAAATCAAATTTTTAGAGATGAAAACTGCAGTACTAAAGATGAAAAGATACACTTTGTGGGATTAACTGCAGATGTGCACCACTGATCAAGAGATTGGTGAACTTGAGGGCAGCAATAGAAACTGTCCAAAATGGAAAAAAATCTGAAGAAAAAAGATCCTTAGCTATGGTTTATGTTCAGGTGGACTAATATACATGTAATTAGAGTCACTGAAGGGGGGAGAGTATGACTAAAAGAACATCTGAAGAAATAATGGCTGAAATTTTTCTAAATTTGACAAACTGTAAAACAGTTTCCAGAAACTCTGAGCCCCAAATACAAACTGCCTAAGCACATCATAATCAAATTGCTTAGATTAATTATGTACAGAGAAACAAAGAGAAATGACGAGATTTTTCATCTTAAAGCCTGCTAGGTAGAAAGAAGACAGTGGAGCAAGACAATTTCCCAAGGGGGAAAAAAAAGAGCGACCTAGGATTCTATATCCAGAGGAGGCAAGTAAGACTTTTTAGACGTAAAAACTGAAAGAGAATCGCAATTGGGCATGAGCTGCAAGAAATGTTAAAGAACTCCTTTAAGCAGGACTGTCATACCAGATAGAAGCCCTAATTATGTACAGCTTACGGCTATAGAAAATGAGAAGGTGACATCACTGCAGATCCTACAGATACTTGGAGGATAACAAGCAAATATTATGAAGAATCTTCTGCCGTTAAATTCAACTTTTGAAGGAACATGCAAATTCCTTGAATCCAGCAAACTGCTAAAGCTTACTCAAAAGGAAACTGATAATTTTAATAGCCCCATAGCTAAAGAAATTGAATTTGTAATTATATATCTTCCCACAAGGAAAACTACAGGCTTAGGTGATTCCACTGTTGAGTTAATTCTACCAGGCATTTAAGAAATAAATCATGCCGGTTCTATATATATCGTTCCAGAAAATTAGCAGTGCATATGTCCCAGTTTTTTCTGCGAGGACAGCATTGCCATGTTAATAAAAGCAAAGCCGTTACAAGAAAATAAAACTATAGAAGCAAAAGTCAGCTAATTTTCAAAATGAATCCAACAATATGTAGAAGGGACAATATATTAGGACCTAAGTGAGGTTTATCTCAGAAGTGGAAATCAGTTAATGTGATTCAATGTATTAACAGAACAAAAAAAAGGAAAATCATATGGACATCTCAAGGGATTTAGGAAAAACTTGACATTTTTTTTGTTTGTTTTTAATATGGTTTTACTGATTTCAGAGAGAGGAAGGGAGAGGGAGGGAGAGAGAAATAGCGGTGATGAGAGAGTTGTCACTGATTCACTGCCTCCTGCACGCCCCCGACTGGGGATCAAGCCGGCAGCCCAGGCATGTGCCCTGACTGGGAATCGAACCTTGATCTGGATCCTAGTTCGCGGCCCGGCAACAAATCATGAATTTTCACTTTGTCATTATTTTTTAACAATTCAGTAATACAAAGTAGTAATTCTACAGGTAAGATGCTTGCAGCCACCTACATTATGTTTTCCAGTGATAGAAGTTCATTCTATATTAAGACATTGAATGATTTTGACATATTATTGGAATATTTTGGGGTTTTTTCATGTAGTGTTTTCAACTCAGGTAACTTCCTTCCCCGTCCCCCAGACATTTGGCATACCCAGAGACATTGTTTGTTTGTCACAGCTCAAGGAAGGGTACTGTTGGCTCTCTAATGGATTGAAGCAAGAGATTCTGCTAAACACCGTACAGTGCACAGTACTGGAATCATTTATGGATGCCAACATTAAATGGTCCCTTGATACTGACATTCAGTTGTTTTACCTCCATAGTCAGTTTCTTTCTTCATTCCTAGAGCGTATTTCCAAATAGATATCACAGTGGCCTCTCCGATTTTATAAATAATTTGTAAGGCTTTCTGTTAGCTGGCATTTGCTAGGCTTACTATAAGTGACTTTGACCTCTGCAGCATCTCACCTTTTGACTGCTCCCCTCTGTCCTTCGAGGCTGTGTGCTTCCATAGCATCTCATAAACAGTCTCAGTTCTCCCCTTACCAGTTCTTCATTTGATACATTTGTTCTTGACCCTCCCATCGCTGCGTTTTCATTCTGGGAGATTCCATTGACTTCCGTGGCTTCATTTGCCAACTATATACCAGTGAATCCCACTTTTGCAGCCCAGACCCCTCTCTGGAACTACAGATGGGTAACCTGTTGGATACTTTCAGTGTGGAGGTCTGGGGCGCTTCAGCATTGACATTTGTCAAACAGAACCTGTTAATGTAGACCCGCTTCTCCCTAAACACAAGATACAAAGAGTTATTAAGTCATTTCCGTCTTCTGTCTTCTGTGGCTTCTTTCCAAGTGTCAGCCATTTTCCAAGTTTGTCTTGTCTCTCTGCTCTCTAATCCTTTCTCTATTCCACCACTAGAATTAACTAAGAAGGAAAATTAATAGTTTAAAAAACCTCAAGATCTCTTCTTGCCTTTGTGTAGATTGAAAGATCCTATATTTCTATAATGGGGTAATGATAAAATTAAATGATTCTTTTCTCAGTTCTCAAAGGGATGGAATTTTATTTTACATTTTAAGTTTTTCTCTAGGTGTCTTAAAATTTTATTTACTGCTACCATTTTGATTCTCATCTATCAGAGTGATATTTGAATTAGCCTAAACTTTCATGCTATTTAGTTTACAAATGTCAGATTTTTATGGGATTTGGCAGGCCTTCCACAGTTTGACTCCCCAACCTGTCTGCTTTACTCACTGCCATGGCTCACAGTGGAATCTGAAGAGAATTTGAGATTCTAATTCCTGACTGCCACTTATTCATTGCAAGGCATTGGGCAAGACATTCAACATAGTATTAACAATACTTACCTTTTTGAATTTTGAGGACTCAATGAAATAATGCTTAGTCCAGAGCCTGGCACAATATAAATACTCAGGAACTATTAGCTGCTGTTCTGTTGTTTCGGCTGCCCTACTCCTCAGTTTGAATATCTCACTGTACCCAACCGGGCAGGGTCTGACGTGACTGTCCACACTACTCCCAGGTGCCGGAACGCCTTCTCATTGTGTCTGCTCCTGTTCCTTCAGAATTTACCTCTTCTGAGAAATTTTCCTAGCACGTAGTCCTTATCACCCCTCCTCTCCTTTACACAGTCTTTCCCTTATAGATTCTTCTGTTGATACTTCTCTTTGGATCATGTATTTCATTACAGTTTGTTTTCCAAGCTGTTGTCTTCACTGAACTTTTAAGCGCCCTTTAAGGGGTAGGGATAATATGTTGGATCCCATTGTTACTGCCCTGCCTTATAGCTAACAGGTTTTCGTAAATGCTGTCTTCTGTATTACCTCATATAATCCCTCAACCACTTTGTCATTGGTCAGCATTATCGTCTGTTATCAAATGGGAAACTGAGGCTGGAAGAAGTTAAATTATTTGCCCAGGTCACTTAGTTTCTCTAAATGAGACAGTTCAGAATTCCCCACCTTTAATAACGTACTACTGTTGTCTAGCTATCCTAAAACATTTGTCTTTTATTTATAATATAAATAAAACAGCATTTAACTTATTAAAAGTGTTTCTTGATGATTGTCTTTGAAACAACTTTGCTTTAATTTGTAATGTGCGAAACATCTCCAGAATTGGGGTTCTGCTGATACAGAATAGTAAGTTTGATCTCTGTAGACCTTCTGTTCTTTATACTCCATCGTACTGCTTAGCAGAGTAATTGGATAAATAGTTATATTTAACACACGACTTTTTAATATAATTTATACATAATAAAAGGTAGTTGGAATACTTTGTACTTGAAAGAATTAATGTTGTTTTATCCCAAAACTTAATTCAGTAATTGTGTTTTTGTATGATAGTCCTTTCTTAGTCCTATGTAAGGGTTGTTATTTTAAGAACATATAATAGTAAATTTGGATGACCTAATGATTTTTTATGGCTTTGTATTCAGTGAAAAACACTCATTCTGATAAATAGTTTAAAGAACAGTATAGAGTTGAAGATGAGCAGTATTGCCCCCGTCGTATAATATTTTTTAAATTTAGTCCATGGGTCTGTCTTAAGCCTTATTTTCATTTTTAGATTTGCTTGTTTTAAAAATACTCATAAGCATTTTTCTCATTACAGGGCATAGTAATATTCTAAATCTCACCCCTGTAATAGTAGTATTTGTGTTTCACTTTAGGGAAGCTATGCGGAACTATTTAAAAGAGCGAGGGGATCAAACGGTCCTTATTCTTCACGCAAAAGTTGCACAGAAGTCATACGGAAATGAAAAACGGTAAGATTATTATTTTCTGGTGGATAGTTCATTGTAGCTGTCACATGAATTTGCAGGTGACATGTTAATATGCAAGTCAGAGGATGGTTTCTCTTGGGTCATTTGCAAGTACAAAATGAAAAATAGGGGATTTGTCTCTATTGATGGAGAAACAGTGAATTGTGGCAGATTTAGTAAAGATCATCTGGCTGAATCCCTAATAATCACAAAACATAATAATCTATAATTTTTCTTTTGGGCTGCATGATGTTCTGTAAGTATTTCTGAGATATATTAGCTCATTCAAAAAGTAGCGTTCCTTTTGGTGGAAAATGTAGTGTCATAAACAAATGTGGCCCAGAGTGCCACTTCAGAAAGGAAAAGGCTAAGCAAGCCTGGATTGAACTATGGAGTATTGTAAAGAAGCGCTCCCGTCCTCTCCCCCAGCCCTGTGCCTGTTCAGAGTAAGAAAAAAATGTGGGTACTACAGATGACTTAGAAATAAGATTGGCCAAAACTAAATTATTACAAAGTGATCTTTATGTTTAGTACTTGTCACAGTATCTTATAAATTTCAGCATTTTTTATGTATAATTGGAGACTTCGGTTTGTTTTTTCACTTGGTTTCTAGAATTTTCTTGTTAATAGTTTCAAGTTAAACATTTCGTGGACAAAAGGCTTGCTTGTGGGGGAAGATGAAAGATTTTTTTGAATTGGCTAGAAAGACACCACACTAAAGTGGGAAAAGAAATGAAAACTCAGGTTTAGGTGTTGGGAATGGGTGGAATAGTAGAATTTGTGAGATAAAGGAAATCTCAGCGTATATATAAGAGAAGTGAAATGTAAATATATAATTAAATTAATTTACATGCTAGGAGAAAAAGTCTCTTTCTAAAGTTCTCTAAATCTGAGCTGAAAAGAAGGTGAAGCTATTTATCTCAGAGGACAAACAAGTGAAAACAGTATTTAGGACTCAGACTGCCAAGTGTTCTTTTTTTTATCATTATTCAGACTTGCTAAATTTATGACTATTTTATCTTTACTAATAGAACTTAATTATCTGATTTATAGTAAAATATTGGAAAAAGTTGGTATCTGCAGTTTGGGAGATAGAAACCAAATCAAAATAGTGGCCCCCTTTTTCATGACGCTGATACTGGAAATTCAGTGTGTATGTGAAATTGAGTGTGTGTGCATAGCCGATCATTTGTTTTTTGTGTTTTGTTTTTCGTAAGCAAAACAGAGCAAGATTATACCTTCATCACTTGAGCTGAGTCTCAAATTAGGCCAGCCATGCACCTCATAGTGAATCTCAGGAAGAAACAGTTTCCCAGTCATGAGCCAGGCATTGTCTTGGAAATGCCTTTACAAATGTTTTTAAATTGTAATTCTCAGAATAATCTTGTAAACGGGTATGTTACAATCCCCATTCTGTGAGTGAGGAAACAAGATCAGAGACTACGTGTGCCCAGGTTTACCTTAGTTAGAAATTGATGTAGCCAGGATTAGAACTCCTTGGTCTGTAATTCCAAATTTCTTATTCTTTTTATCGCCCTAGTTTTCATAGCCTTGCATTTTGTGTGTGAGTGTTGGTATTTAGATCAGGGCTTGAGAATGAGGAGGTTAAGATGCCTGAAGAACACAAACTTTGTAAATAAACATAACTTTGCCTGGGATTATTCCTTCAGCATGAGCTTAGGGAGGCTGGGCTAGATTTAATGGAAATATGATTAGACACGTGTTTAGTGTATAGCTGCCAACTTTGGCCTTGCTGCTTTCCTTTCTCTGAATTTTTGAAGATGCGTTTTAATACCATCTGATTCATTCATTAACTGATGTATTCTTCATTTCTGATGACCTGTTAGGTGCCAGGTACTGTGCAAAAGGATCTTTACTGGGAATTTTAAAAGTTAAGAATGTCATTTAATACTATGATGGATAATAGGCCCAGTGGAGATAACAGAAGGGAAGAGCTACTCAAAAAATTACATCTAAGTCCAGAGAAGGTTCCTGTTTATTAGTCACTGTTAAAAGTATATGAGTAAGAAACTAGTGGCTTACCAAGTTAAAATGGGTGATTTAAGGGTTATCTTTTATTGTGGTTGCCTTTATTTTCTATTTGGGTATGGCCTGGCCACTCTAAAACACCAGTCAAAGGAAAGCTTGAAGAGCTAAGCTTCTAGCCTTCAAAGAATGAAGGCTTCAAAGAATGAAAAACGATAAAAAGACCTAGAGTAACTACTTTCCTATATTTTTACATATATTTGTATTAACGTTTCTAGAGCAGACATGTATTAGTTTTACAATAAAGATGGAAACCTGTTAAAGTTACCTGTGTGTTTGTGTGTTTTTTTTAAAGTATTAATAATAAGAAAATATTCTTGCAGCCCAGCCTCCTGGATGACTGGCAAGGCTTTTTCCTGGAAGAGGTCTGGTCCCTTTCTCTTTGGCAGAGTGCACAGTGGGAAGAGGAAGGTGTGCCTTCTTGCTTGTTGATCCAGATTTGGGCTTTTCTGAAAAGCTGCTAAGGCATAAAACATGAAATAACCTGGGGACATGACCACAGCCTTCTTAGCATACAAAATAGCTCCAGTGAATGATGCTAGAAAAATTTGGTCAGGAAATTTTACCCTAAAATTATAAATTGTTCTTGAGCCTGATAACAAAATGTGTTTGCTTAGCACATCCGGTACCACATTTATGTTAGTGGTTGGTTTTACCTTTTCATTGAAGAAGGAAGATCTTTTCAAGGTGAAAAAGAAACTTTTAAAAATTATTTGTGTAGAGGATATTTTCCATTAAAGAAATGGGAATGCCATTTGACATTAACATTGTCAAGGAAAGTACTTCAGCTTTGTCATGGGAAGTACTTAAGCAGTAGTGAAGGTGATGGTGATGCTGTTGAGACAACAGTAAAGCCATTTAGATAATTAGACTATGATTCTGAAGTTGGACCTGGACCGAGAATGTGTTCATTGAGACAACTGTGGTGCGCAGACAGTTTCAGGTTTTCTGGTTTTATTTGTTTGTTGCTTTAAAAAAAAATTATTTTTTTTCAATCCTCACCCGAGGATATTTTTTCCATTGCTTTTCAGAGAGAGAAACATCGATGTGAGGAGAGACACATCGATTGGTTGCCTCCCGCAAGCGTCCCGATGGGGGCCGGGGTTCAAGCCTGCAACTGAGGTACATGCTCTTGGCCAGAATTGAACCCAGGAAACAGTCCACAGGCTGACGCTCTGATCTCTGAGCAAAACCAGCCAGGGCTGTTTTTTGCTTTTGAATTGAATAGTCAAAGGGTAATGATTCTGCAAAGGTAGTCAGGTCACGTCCTGTCCTCAGTGTGCTTGGATTTCATCTAGCCTAACTTGTTTTAAATATTGAGCTGAACAAAAAGGCTGATTTAAATCTGTAGGTATTTTTCAGATCTCATCTCAGGATATGAGGGAAACGTTGAATCATTCTCTGAAAATACAGAGATTGAGCTAGGAAATGAGTAAAATCATAACTGTGTTTATATCACCACCAAGTGGCAGAAAAAAGTATTGTTTGTCATAGTTGCTTAGATACAGATACAGCTACTGGGAAAGATTAGGAAATAAAGCACATTGTTTCCTAGGATATCTTTTCATAACAGCTGTTAAACTCTACACTGGCCTCTTGATGGTCAACTTTTCACTCATTGAGTGTTTGTTACATATTAACGAACTACTCAAATTCAAAAAATCTATTTCACACCTCATTATAAAGGTGTATTTTAATTTTCATTGTTAACTAGGGCTCTTTTTTTCTTATCTCCCCTTTATTTTCTTTTGTCTGTATTCTTCCTCTTTTTTTGTACATAGACTATTTTATTATATTACTACGTACTACTGAAGTCTGTTGAAATGAAAATTTGATTCATTAGCTGTTTTTAGGGAGGGGTAGCAATATTAGGATGTTTAAAATATTTTTTAAATGACTCATCACATAGAAATAATCTTTGTTTCGATTATATTGGATTTGCTATTTTCTTGCATCACAACTTTTTTGGATAGTTATAGAGTCGATTAGAAAAAACAAGGCTAGTCAGAGGCAGTTAAAGAGTCTTTTGTTTATTACATGATTGAAAAAGCGCTTTTAGTAAAGAACCTTGCTTGGTCAGTGTTGTGAGTGATAAAGGATTCCTTGCCTCTTGTCTAATTGTATACCCCGTTAGTTCCATGCCATTTTATCAGCATCCTTTTGAGAGAACCAGCACTACAGGTTTTCTCCTCTTTATATTTTCCAGATGTGAAATAAAAGTACTTTTTACGAAAACTTGTTGCAACTTGGCTACTGTATTTAGTACAGTATATACTAAGCACAGGACTTTGAATTTTTATAGCTGATATACCAATTTACTAAGGAGTCTTAATATCAGTGTTCAGTAAAATACTAATAGGAGACAAGTTTCCAAAATTGATGTCTTCTCAACTTCCTGAGAGTGTGCCAGTGATGTGTTTGAGTCTGTGCCTGATAATCATTGGGCAGCTCTCAGCAGTAGAGGCCGGAAAGATCCCTGGTGTAGCCTTGAGTGAGCCAACTCCAGAGCTAGCCCAGCTAATTCAGGAGTCTCTCCAAACTTGTAGTGACCCGGAGCTGAGCCTGCTGCCTCAGCTGTGACCTCTGTGTCCAGGTCACAGTGAGTGCAGGCAGGAAAGCTGCTCTGATGCTTTAGATAAATATGAGAAGACTCTAGAGGCTTCCCTCCCTACTCAACTTGACCCCCAAGGCCTGCTTGGTCTGCGTTCCCATTACCTCTGGCTTCATCTCTTCTTTCCTCCTCCTGCCTGCTCCAGCCGCCTGGTCTGTCTGTCATTTCCCCACCACTCATGGTGGTCCTTCCGACTTTAGAACCTTTACACTTGCTCTTCCCTCTGCTGCTGCTTTTCCCTCTGATATGCATGGCTGTAGGTTGTGACTCAGGTCACCTTCCTACAAAAGCTCTCCCCAGCTGCTGGATCCCTGACGTTTTAACTACCCCTTTTCCTGCTTTATTTATTTTCTCTCAGGACTTATCACCAGCTAACAGACTATATACATTATTTTACTCATTTACTTTTTTAAAAAATTGTCTGTCTCCCTTATTAGAATGTGAGTTGCACCAGGACAGAAATTTTTGTCCTTTTTTTTTATTTATTTAAAAAAACCACTACTATATTTCCAGCTCCTGGTCCAGACTGGGGGTGTAATAAGTAATTTGATGAATTAATATTATTTAATAAACCCAGTTCACTTCTTGTAAATTATATGTAGATTGCCTCTAAAGTAGTCCTTAAAAGTTGAGCAAAAAGTACATGCCGTCATATATTTTAATTCACTTCAATCAGTGTTGCAGTGGGTGCTGAGAGGGGAGCAAACAAGAACTAGGTGTTACTACTGGTAGGAAGGGCTGAGCGCCAAATCCAGCCTGTGGTGTCAGTATGCACATATACACATTCACATGTACAGTTTTTTTAAGTCTGCACATTGTTGGCTTACAAAGTGTTAAAAAGCATAAATTTTTGGCCATGTTTTAAAATTTTATTTCAGGCATCTATTGAACAGTTGAAAGATGTGACCAACACTAGGTCCACATACCTGTAGTTCAGCAGTGTGAGTGGATATCTACTTACAGGCTTGCCATTCCCCATTGTTTTCTTATTATCAGAGCCACATACCAGTGGCTAATTAGCATTGTATTTAAGCTATTGTTTTTCTTACAGTGGCCTTAAAAGAATTAAAAAATTTTGTATACTCATAACTATGCAAAAAGTGGGAATTACCAGGAGGGCTGTATGGTTCAAGAAAGAAGGGAGGGAACCTCTTTCTTTGGGTTATTAAAGAATATTCCTACTTATTTGTTGTACTATTTATATGTTGTACTGCTTATTTGGCTACTATTTGAGTAGGTATTTGAGTTTTTAGGACCCTTAAGACACATGGCATAAATGTTTTAAACTATGTACAAATCAGCCTGTGTAATTGAGCAAAAAAAAATTCTAATCTATGTAAGGTCTGGATTGGTGGTCTGAACTATGTAACATATGGGGCTTGAGCTAGGCTTTGAAATAGGTGTTTTTAATTGCTAAAGACAAGATTATAAGGAAGTTAGTTTTTCTAGGTGGGAAGAATTTATGAGGGCAGGTTTTTTGCAGCTGGCAAAACAAAGGTACAGTATTGGTAGTCTGTGAGTTAAAAGGATACAGTGTATTCTTTCAGTCATTCACATGCATCAGGTGTTGAGGGTGTAAGACACAAAGCATAGTAATTCAGTGATCATTCCCCTTGCTTTTAATTCTACCTAGTTTTTTGTTTTCTTTTTTAATATATCTTTATTGATTTCAGAGAGAGGAAAGGAGAGGGAGAGAGAGAGATAGAAACATCAATGATGGGAGAGTCATTGATCTGCTGCCTCTTGCACGCCCCCGACTGGGGATGGAGCCCGAAACCCAGGCATGTGCCCTAACCGGGAATCGAACCCTGATCTCCTGGATCCTAGGTCGATGCTCAACCACTGAGCCACGCCCGGCAGGGCACTACCTAGTTTTATTACTATTTTGAAAGTTTCTACTTTAGGCATTGCTCTAATTCTATTTTCTAGGTTAATTATCAAAGTTAAGTGTAATATCCATAGCAATAATGTCATTAATTAATACTCATCATTTTGAGACCTTATCTAGTAATTACAGATTCTGTGATGTGTTAGAGTACACATTTATAATGTGTTAGAGTACATTAGATTTGCTGAACTCCAATAGTTTAGAATTCTGAGCTATTTTGAAAATTTGAAGAGCTGTTCCCTGCTCTAAAAAGTAGTCTGAATGTATAACTCTAATACAAGTGAACCTTATCTGAACCAATGTAGTCTTAATGGAAGTCTTGATTTCTGTGCCAGCAAGACGATTATTTGCATTTTAAAAGGCTTCGTTAGGAGCTAACTTAGTGCAGTTCAATATGATTTTATATTCTTTTGTTCGAGACAAGGAAATGCTTTTTTTGAATCTAATTGCATTATTTTTGTTTTAATTGTTCCAGGTTTTTTTGCCCACCTCCTTGTGTGTATCTTATGGGCAGTGGATGGAAGAAAAAAAAAGAACAAATGGAACGAGATGGTTGTTCTGAACAAGAGTCTCAACCATGTGCATTTATTGGAATAGGAAATAGTGATCAAGAAATGCAGCAGCTGAACTTAGAAGGAAAGGTAAATTAAGGCTGTTGATTCCCCATAAAGGCACCAATATTGTCCCCTTATTTGTTTTTGTGGTAGTGGTTTTTTTCCCCTATGGCTATTGGTAGCAGTTTTTTGAATACATAAATCAGAACCAGAAATAAACTTCTCAAATAGCTGTGGTCTAGTTATGATTCATGGAGCTCAAGCTGTTGACGTCTAATGGTGGCACTCAGCTTGCTAGCAGTTCTAGCAGGCTGTGAGTTAGATTTCCATTGGAAGTAATACATTTAGGAGGCAATCACTTATCTGACGGTGTGTTCCTCAACGATAAATACAGAGTTCAGTAGTATTTTACTCTGCTCTCTTAATCTTAGTCTTATGCTAGAAACAAAGTGATATAGATAAATTCTTAGAAGCATTTACATGGGTTATAAAGATCATAAATGCTTTACCTAGCCGTTGTGTGGAGTAGAACTATGCTGTAGGAAAGCACAGCCATGATTAGATTTACTCAAACGTTTAGGGATTTTCTTTGATTAATTTTCAAGGGAATGAAATTTATGAATTAGTTTTACTAATTGTATTTGTAAACTTAGAAAGCAGTCATTTCAATCTGTACCTTTGGTATTTAAAAATAGTTTTTTATTGACTTAGCACTTAATATTTGTTTTCCCTTGATATTAAAATTTGAAAAATGGTTAATTCTGATCTCAATGACCACATAAATGTCTTTTAAAATAGTGCATAAGAAGCTATTTTTTCATTCAATACATCTTTATTGAATGTCTTAGTGTTTGCTGTATTACAGTTGGCACTAGGGATGGGGGATGGAGGGCAACATGGAGGGTGGTGAGCTAGGGGTTTGTGCTCTTCAAGTTCAGTTTCAGCCCTTTTTTAGATAATGAGCAGTAAGAAGCCTTAATATCGGCCCTTTCCAAATACGAGTATTTTTATGTCATTGGTTTCGTTATAATTTTTATCAGTAAGACTTGTCAACTATGTATTTCAAGTTAGGTTTACTATAAAACTTATTACAATAAATGTTTCATCTTAAAAGAAAATAGAGCAGTAAAAAGTGTTTCTAAGTTATGACCCTTGAGCAAAAGTGAAGGTTATATTTAAGTGGTGGGCTTACCTAATAGGCCTTGGCCATGTCTTATCTGTTTTCCTCATAGAAAGTCTCTGAGTTCCATGTCTGCAAGCTATATCTTTACATTTGGTACTATGAATGATTAATCAGATTAGATGGATAGTTATCCAGAAGCCAGGGATTCTAGCGACCAATGTATGTAATAACTATTTATTTCTCACTTTGACCAATTCCAGCTTTCAGCAATTTTAAGGGAAGTAATATCAAACAAACAGCATCCCACTTGCCTTTCCCAGCATCATGGCTTAGTATATCTTGCTCCAACTTCTACCATTGTATCCTTTCCCTAAGCCCGAGAAATTCACAGAGGAAGAAAAAGAATGTCTGAGAGCTCATGCATTAATGGTTTTTTAAAAACTTACTAATAGGGTAGCACAATGCCTCTAAGCCAAAATAATATGTTAATATTTAGCTTGAATGAAAAATGGTATTAGAGAAGTCTATATAAAGTAAGACTGGTTGAGAGTCAGCAGAAGGCATTCCAGGCAGAAAAGAATGACATAATCATGTACTTGGGGCATCAAGGCATAAGAACATGGTATGCTTAGGCCAAGTAGGCAAAGATGGTCTGAGCAGTGGAATGCTGAGCTTAAGAAAGAGCTCTTTGCTCCTATCTGTCTCACTTAACCTCCATTCATTTAAGGTAATGTTATTTTTTTCAACATTGAATGGTACAATTTGTCATTATTGAAAAAGAAGGAATATTTTACATTATTGGGTATTTGTACTTATTTTCATTACAATAGAGCTCTAGTATGTATAGCCCTTATTTTTATAAAGGCCATGACATTTGACCATGTTTCAGATCCGAGATTTCATTTAATGATATTGTTAATTTGTTAAGTATTCATTGCCTCAATTTCACATCTTGCATAGTTGGAGCTAGGTAAGCTCTGCAACATATCAATTACTTACCTAATTAGCACACTTGTGTCTTCTTACTTTTAAAAATTACACCCTCCATACCTTTCTTGCTAGCTTTGTTTGTTTCTATAATTCAAATTTTATAATTTAACTATTTCCACAGTATTTTTGCAGCATTAGATCTGGTATTTCTCACTTCAGGCCAGATGTTTGAGTCATTTTTAAGTTAAACTGTTATTTAGAGAAAGGTTTATTGTGTGCCATTTTCTAGAATTTTGTTAGCTAATTTAGCCTTTTGGTATGACGGAACAAATGTAACTAGTTTTTATTTACTCACTTTCTTAAAGCCACCATACTTTTTTGAGTCACTGACTTCTCCCTTTTTCTCTTATGGAATGTGACAAGTTTGTGGTCAGTAGCATTATATATGTTTTTGTTATAATAGTTCTAATAAAATTATCTCAGGTATGATTTTTATGTGTGCCCGTGTGTGTATTCAAACTGCTTACCTTTGTAATCAGAGATATATTTCCTTTCTTTCCAAGGAGATATGTGTGTTTGCTTTTTCCAAACAAAATAAAGCCCTTTGTGTATAGGTTCAACCTTTGTTACTCTTTTTCCTTTCCTGTTTGCCAGTCTATTTTATCATTTTTGCTGGGTTTCATTATTTTCTCTTTTCTGATATTGATTGTATCCCTTAATGTTAACACTCAAATTAGTGATCTTAACATTTAAAAGTTTTCCCATTAGAATGTCATTGTCTCCATTTAGATACATATTTCATTTTTGTTCACTGTGACTGCTGTAGTATACTGATACCCATATTCCTAGGCTTTGCCTTGTATTGCAGAATAATTCCATAGTTTAGGCTTAATTTGACCATAAGTGCTTTTAAAGTATTTTACCCATGGCTCCTTCCACAACATCTGTGACTGCTTGGAGATCCTCAGGTGAAAGGATCTGTGTGAATACAAAGCTCTGTTGTTTTTATTTATTTTTATTATTATGATTAGCTTTATCCTAATTTTGTCTTCTGCAGAACAAAGTCTTGCAAAGCTTTTACCAGCCTTTTGGATTTATAAAAATGTAATTCGAGTGTAAAATATTTAAGATGGCATCTAAATTTTTTAATATAACATTGCTATTGAGAAATAAAATAAACTATGGCATTATTTTTGTTCTGCTTCTAAAATTGCCTTTGAGTAAAGTTTAAAGATTAAAAACCTAGAGCACATTAGCTTATTTCTTAAATCAGTACCATTTGCCCTGCATTTTAAAAGAAACAACAGAGGTAGTCAGAAACTTGTTTAGCCTAATTTTAAAGTAGAGCATTGATCTTTTAAAAAATATAATTTAGTCTGATCATGACGCTGAATAAATGTGTATTTTTTTAAATGTGCTGTGTGAAGTTAGTCTGCTCTGAAGCCATCTTGGTAAATTACCCCAACAGTGTGAAGTTAGAATTCCTTCAGGGTGATGCCAGGTTCCATTTGAAATTTATTTACAACCTGCTTGGGCACAGAAGCCATTGTCTTCAGAAACCTTGGTGTAGTTGAATTGACAGTTACTGTGTTGTGGCCTGGAGTTCACCATTAAAAGGGTCACCCCAGCAGATTCATGGAGTTTATTTAGTTATTAATGATTGTTGGCACATCCTATGCAATATATCTAAATTGAATTATGGTACCAGATAAAAATATAGATGGGTATGAAGCTTGTGTATCATCCATTATCATGTGTAATCAATAAACGATTTAATATCCTCTTGAAAAAAAATATATATATAATTTAGATATTTTAAATATTTAAGCTGTCTTTGAGCATCATTTGTCCAACCTGGAAAAGGAGATCAATAATTTAGCCCCTTCCTTAATTCACAGAGATCAGGGGAATAGGAAAGATCTTAGAATTGTCATATATGGCCCGGCCGGGCGTGGCTCAGCAGTTGAGCATTGACCTAGGATCCAGGCGATCAGGGTTCGATTTCCGGTCAGGGCACATGCCCGGATTGTGGGCTCGATCAGTGACTCTCTCATCATTGATGTTTCTCTCTCTCTCTCTGCCTCTCCTTTCCTCTCTCTGAAATCAATAAAGACATATTAAAAAAAAAAAAGAATTGTCATATATGTTTGAAATAATAGCATTTTCAAGTGTCTTTGCTGTTTTGCAAGTGCTATAACTCTTTAATACTATATTTTTAAATATATAGTATTTGGATACCCATATTCCTAGGCTTTGTCTTATATTGTAAATACTAAATTGAAATAATGTCTTGCTGTGTTTAGTTTTTCTAGTACCTTTAAATTCAATTCTTGCAGTTATACAATATGAATTATCCCAGTGGGCAAAGTTAACAATTTTTAAAGACGAGTCCTTTAAGGTATACTCATATAAGCTCTTTCTGGAATAAGATATTTTGTAATCATCCAGTTAGTACTGATGTTGTTTTTCTCAGACTTATTGGTGGTTACTCTGGTGTTCACATTGTATGCACTATTTGGGGAAGGATCACTGCTGAAATTTTTAAATAATTTTATTGAATTGTGATAGCCTTATTTATGTTTTCTTTACAGAAAGAATCTTAGATTTTTTTAGCTATAAAATTCTGTTTTTAAAAATTACCACTAATATTGATAGTTCTGTGATATAGATGTAGAGCTATATAAAACAAGAAAAGACTGTTTAAGTCTTTTAAAGAGGGTAAAATGGTTCACAGTGTTAGTGTTTTATATACTTCATAAGGGAGGCTGTACTTTGTTTTCAGAGATTAATTTCAGTAATTTTTATAGTTGGTTGTATTCAGCTTCTCATTGAAATTGACTTAAACCTGATCAGACTTCGCCATGACCACACAGAGTGTAGATACATAACCAACAAGGTTTGGTACTATTAAAACTTTCCTTTTCTTTCACAGAACTATTGCACAGCCAAAACATTGTACATATCCGACTCTGACAAGAGAAAGCATTTCATGTTGTCTGTAAAGATGTTCTATGGCAACAGTGATGACATTGGTGTGTTCCTCAGCAAGCGGATAAAAGTCATCTCCAAACCTTCCAAAAAGAAGCAGTCATTGAAAAATGCTGACTGTATGTATGCTTCAGTTTTCTTTTCCCCCCAACACCCACTGTGAATTAAGATAAATTTATTTTTAAATTAAAAATTGCCTTTTGATAGCCAGTTCATTCTTTACTAATATTTTCGTGGCCCTCACTTTATCTGAAAATGTCACATTCATTAACTGCTGCTTTATTGTCTTTTTAAAAAATTGAAAATGGATAATACCTAGTCTAGGAAGTAGTGCCCACCTAGAGCTGGCTCCTCACTGCTCCCCAGAGGCATTTAGAGAAACAGGAGTTCTTTTCCTTTTGCCGTCACAGTGACTGCAGGGAGTGATGTTGACACTGGGTATCTTGGGCCAAGATAGTCCCCATTCCACAAGGAGTTGATTTACTAAGAATGTCAAAAGCATCTCTTTGAGCAGCAATGTTTATCAAATGGGCTTTGGAAAACCATCCTGAGAACCTCCACAAAATGTTTAGCTTGGTTGCTCTGGCAGAGACTGCTGTCTCATCAGCAAAGTCTTAGATTCTCAAAGATAAATAAACATTTCAACCCCTACACCTGTTTTTCTTTTTTTCTTTTAACTTTTTATTATGAAAACTTTCAAACTTAGTGAAAGGGGGAAAGTAGTGTAAGGTGACTATGCACCTGGCCTCAGTGGGTTTTTAATCCATTCTGTTTCATTGTCTTCATCACCACCAGCACCTGTTTCTCCTCCAACTGTTGGGATATTTTAATGTCAGTCTCAAACGTCCTATCCTTTCAGCTACCATTTCTGCAAGTAGTGGGTCTCTAGCAAATAACTTCCTTTTTTAAACATCGTTATACCTAACAAAGTCCACAGTTCTTTGGTGTAAAAGCCAAGACCCTGCAGATTTATCACATTGTCTCAGAAATACTGTTCACAGTTGTGTTTTTGGGTTTTTTTTTTAACAATTAATTTACTCAAAACTGGATCCAAACAAGGATCATGCATTTTTATCTGTAATAGTTTCTTCTCTCCCGCTCCAGCCTTTATTTCTTTATCATTTATTTTTTAAAGAAACAGGTCATTTTTCCTTTGGAATTTCCATATTCTGGATCTGGCTGATTACATATTTCTGTGTCTTATATTTTCCTTAAACTGGTGGTTAGACCTCAAGACTTTTATTTTAGGTTTAACTAGTACTATATATGTTCATTCCTATAGAATCAGAGGTCATATTAATATCTGATCACCCCACTTCTTGTCATGTTTAGATTGAGTATAGTAAATTGAGTCCAATCTACCTATGACAAAGTTCTGAGCAGCCTTTAATCTAATGGTTGTAGAGTCATTGATGATGACTGCTTAAATATTTCATCAAGGGCTGCAAAATGGTGACTTTTCTCATTCTTTTATTCATAATGTCTGCATTTATTAGCTGTTTGCTTGAAATGTAGTCAGTAGAGGAAAGGCGGGATAAATGCTTGTTTACTAATTTGCAGACTAACGATACAGGATTTTTGTTTTGTTTGCTTGCTTTTATTTATTTTGTTTTATTATGAACTTACAGGTTTTTATATACTACTGGATGGTTTTTAGTTCAGTCAGCCATTGTTACTATAATTCATTTTATTTTACAGAAATTTTCAAACATACTAAAGTAGATAGAGTTGCATAATGCAGTGAAACCTCCTGTGTTCTAATTTCAACAGTGATCTTAATTTCATCTTCATTCTATACCCCTGCCCTACTCTGACTTTTCTCTGCCTTCATTTTAGTTTGATATGAAATCCAAGATATAACATCTGTAAATATTTGTGTGTCTCTAAAAGATAGGGTGTCTTGTTTTTTCATATAACCACAATAACATGACCACATGAAAAACAAACATAAAATAACTATAAAAAGAAATAATTTCATCAGATATCTAGTCAGTGTTAAAATTTTAAATTGTCTAAAATGCCATTATTTAGCCCATTGTTTGAATCAAAATTTAAATAGGTAAACCAACTATTACAATAAATATTCTGTTGACATGTCCTTGAGTAACTGTAATCTGTGGATTCTCTCTCCCCCTCCCCCTCCTCCTCTTTCCTTGTAATTTATTTATTCAAGAGACTGAGTCATTTGGCCATGAGAGCTTTCCATAGACTGGATTTTGCTAATTTCATTTCCTTGGTGTAGTTTAATGTATTTCTTGTAAACTGGTGGTGGTAAAGAGAAACAGCCTGACACTAGTTAAAGGTGGTAAAGACAGATTTTACTCAGTACTGTTGCAGTAGGGAAAAGAGACTTCAGTGTACAATTGAGCTCAATTCCAAATGCAACAAGGGCAAATGGGGATTTATATACAAGGAGCAGAGTGGGGGGTAGGGAGAGTCAGTGGATGGAAAATTACTAAGAGCAGACATCCAGGGGAAGGGGAGGGGTCTGACAAACCAGTCTGACAGAATGCTTGCTAAGGGCAGGCCTGCTATGTCAGGTACACAACTTGGGGGCGGTGAGGAACTTGATCAGATAACAAGAGTGGGAGGATGGCTTAGCAGGATTCTTGGAATAACTGGGCCAGTGACTGGACCCAAGGAAGAGGCCTAGTTGAAAGAGGGCTCAGAGGACCCTCTCTGAAGTTTGGTCAAGGAGAGAGCCTTTGTCAGTAGTCAGTTTAGAGGATCAGAGTTAAGTGAGTTGTTCTTTGGCTCTTTTTGGTTACTGGAGGGCAAGGCTCAGTTCATAGTGGTGAAGGGGTCTTGTTTCGTGAGGCAGTAATGTCATGTGTAGCCAGGCTGTTTCTAATTCAAGCTGCCGGATTTTATTCAACCTCTTCAACTTTGTATTTCTATTGACCATAAGTTTCTTGATGGCAGAGAACATCTTACTTACAGAATATTTTCCTTCTTACATAGATGTGTCTGTTTTGTGTGGGGTTTTTTTGTTTGTTTTTTAATTTTTGCAATGAAGGTATTTAGAAGAAATAAAAATATCTATTAATCACAATATCCAGACCCTCCCTATGAATATTTCCCACAGGATTGGATATGAACACATGGAGACACACCTGCAATCACATAAAAATAGGGGCATTTACCTAATGGAGCCACACATACCAAATGCTTTATAGTCTGCTTTTCCATTCAGTGACATTCCAGGAAGATAAATATTTTCTTATAAATGCATTTAGATACATGTTATTTAAATAGATAATAGATATTGTAATTTATTAGTCCATTTCCACTGTTGGACATTTATTATTTTAAAAATAATTTAATGAATAGCAGTGCATTAAACACACTGTATATTTCTCATTTAAATATGATTTTTATGGGCATATTTTATATCTTTACCTTGACATTATTAATGAGAATTACCTTGACTTCTGGGGGGATATTATCTGTATTTTTTGGAGGGTTAAAAATTTGTTAAAAGAATGTGTTAAATTATATTAATTTATTATAATATAGATATTAGATTATAATAAAGAACAATCATAACTTGCCAGGTACCGATCCCTTCTTTCGCCCTCTCCCCTGCAACCACATAAACAGGAGAGTTTTTTTCTTTGCAGTGTGCATTGCCTCAGGAACAAAGGTGGCTCTGTTTAATCGACTTCGATCTCAGACTGTTAGTACCAGATACTTGCATGTAGAAGGAGGTAATTTTCATGCCAGTTCTCAGCAGTGGGGCGCATTTTACATTCATCTCTGTGAGTATAAAAATGTGCATTTGATGTTTCTAGTGTGAAATCGTTAAATTCTTTTTTATAATAAGACATACAGATATATTAAGTTCTGTTGTTTTCCTAAGCAGATTAGTGAACCCTAAAAGATAACAATTTGGTATCTTTTCCCACCGCAGTGGATGATGATGAATCAGAAGGGGAAGAATTCACGGTTCGGGACGGCTACATCCACTATGGACAAACGGTCAAACTCGTGTGTTCAGTTACCGGCATGGCGCTCCCGAGACTGGTATGGCTCCCCTTTTGCATTAGTAATGTGTGTAGTGAAAATGAAGAAAGCAGAAATGCTACAACATTCAAATGAAAAATAGACCTCAAGCTCATTCTTTTCCATTTAAAAGGAGATGTCAGTAATCACTGCTATTTATAATTGACAGTTATACCCCACTTTACGTTTAAAATGCTTTAAGGCAAATAGCCAGTTTTTATGAGTACATTCTTAATGACTTCCTGTTGACTATTTCTAGTAAGTTTTGGTGGCATTTTCCTTTTTGGTTGTATATCTGAACATGTTCGATAGAGGGCGCTATAAAGTTACATTGTAATTTCTTAATGTAGATACACTATTCATTGTAGATACACTGCTGAGTGGTAGGACCAAGTTTTAAAAAATACAGTTCTCGTTTCTTTAAAAATATGAGTATAATTTTTACCAACTTACTCTCCCACAAGAAGAAAGATTTACTAAAAATGAAATAAAGTTGGTATTTATTACTCTGGGAGAGAGGCATATTGTTTAGGGCTTTTCGTTTATTGGGGAGGTCATGAAACTATAAAAACTGCTTTTCTTACCAAAATGAAAGCAAAGGCCCCTTGTATTCCCTCCCACATGCCCACCCTCTTTTTCTGAAACAGCATTGTTGCAGTTGTATTATAGTAAAGATGGAGGGGACTTTTGAGTAAGTTTTATTCAGGGTCAGGTTGGGGGTTGAATAGAAGAACATTTAGTATTACTGTTCCTGAAATATGCTTTATATTTGTCTCTGAGATATTTCATTGGCTTATATTTTCTGGGACTATTTCAGCAGTGGCTAGGTCTACAATTAAATAAACACAACATTTCTTTTTCTTGTTTTTGTTTTGTTTTATTTTTCTATGTCATGGTTTTACAAGGTGGTTTTACTGCCCATTTCAATTTAAGCTAAAATATGTCATAATATTAATTTATAAAACCTTAAAAAACTGAGACAAATTATAATAAAAAGGGTAAAGGTAGGGAGAGAAGGGTGTAAAAACAGTGAAAAGACGCAAACAACCTGTCAACATTTACTCGAAGTCTTTTTTTTTTTTTTAATATGTCTTTATTGATTTCAGAGAGAGGAAAGGAGAGGGAGAGAGAGAGAGATAGAAGTATCAATGATGAGAGAGTCATTGATCGAGCCCACAACCCGGGCATGTGCCCTGACTGGGAATCAAACCCCAATTGCCTGGATCCTAGGTGGATGCTCAACTGCTGAGCCACGCCCGGCCGGGCGAGGTCTTTTCATTTGTTATGTGTCACTCTTATTTGCTTTGGCATTAAATGCCGTAGGATGCATTTACTTAGACAGATGGTAGTGGGCATCCTGGTTTTTTTTATTGGTGAGAGCTGGTTCATTCAGCAGTATCTATGTCCAAAGAATTATTGTTGGGGAAAAATGGAACCAAACATGGCCCGTGTCCTGAGCACGCTTAGTATACCGCCAGCTGGTAGAGACACTGGATGCCCAGCGAGCAGTACTGCAGGCGTATTGCGACTCCACCGGTGGGAGACGCCTGAGTGAGTGCTTGTAGACTTACAGGAAGTTTCAGGCTTGCCTCATTCAAAAACAAGTTATTTCTCTAAAACCCTTGTTAAATGTAAATATAGCTTTAAGACTTTAGAGTTGCATTGAAGCATTTTGCTTAAGTTCCATTAATTTTACAAACTTAGAAGCTTTAATAAAAATATTGACTCTTTTAAACTAAAAAATTAGTGGTGGTGTAAGTAGAATGACAAATATTCTGACAGACTGCAGAGCTAAAAAATATGTAAATACGAAGAATGTTAACTTAAAGATTGGGACTTTTTTACAGTTGTGGCTTAGCTGAAGGAAAATCTTAGAACATAAGTGAGGGGCGAATCAAGTGATGAAAGTCAGCACCGCTACATAATACTAATAGCACTGTCCTAAGGTCTTTTACACATATTGATTCATTCAGTCCTCACAAAATTCTGAGAAGTTACTGTTAAGGATGGATGTTCATTGTGGAGCTAAGTATTAGAGTCCTACATGCAGACATGCATTACACAAGTAGCCCTGAAACTTCCATGTGCCAGGTGAGCAAGACAGACTTCCTGTCCTCATGGAGCTTACGTTTTGATAGGGAGACAGAAAAAATCAGCTAAAGAAATACCCACATAATGAATTAAAAGGTTAATATAAGTGATTTAAAGGCAGATTTTAAAAGGATAACTAACGGATTAGGAGTTGGGAAGGTGTTTTAGAGTAATTAGAACAGTCTCTCTGAAGTGGGGATGTTTGAACAGAGACCAGAGTGAAGTTGGAAAACCACAAACTGGTAAGGAGAGCATCTCAGGCAGACAGAATCTGTGTAAAAAGAACTCAAGGCAGGAATGTGTGCGGACCCGGAAGAGGGACTGAAGGGGCAGATGGCAGGAAATGAAGCTCTGAGGTTAGCCATGGGCAGCATCTTGGAAAGTTCCTCTCTGTATCTAGCGTGAGGACTATATTCTCTCTGTGCGACAGGAGGCCACTGGCGGGTTTTAAACAGGGAATGATGGCTGATCTAGTACAGAAGGATAATGCTGGCTGTTCTGTGGAGGAGAGAACATAGGGTGTCACGGTGGGAGCAGAGATTCAGGTGGTTGGACCTTTGTCCTAATTCAGGCAAGAGTTGACGATGGTATCTTGGACTAGGATTGTAATGCTAGGGTAATGAGTGTGACTGATCTATTTGACAGTAGACCAAACAGAATTTGTTGACAGACTGGATGATTGGGTGTGAGAGAGAGTAAGGAGTCAAGGGGTGACTTTGCATTGGGTGAATAGTGGTGCCATTTATTGAGGGGTGGGGTGGGGGAGATTTATGTTTAGGGAAAAAATCAAACATTCTGTTTTCGATTAAGAATCAGGTAGCTTATTAGACATCTTAAGTGAAACTGTTGACTAGGTAGTTAAATATACAAGTTGAGTTCTGGAGAGAGGAGAGAGCTGGAAATGTAAATTAGGAGTTGCCAGCCTCTAAATAGTATAGAAAGCATAGAGTATGGAGAGAGGAGAGGAGGTCTGAGGACATGGCTCCGGGGCACTGTAAGGGCCAGTTAGAGCCGTGGTCTCTGAAAGGAGACTGTCTGTGTCAGATGCTTGGAAAGCTCATAAGGTGAGGAGAGAGATGCGCCCCTGGGATTCATGTGTCTGGAAGTCCCTGGCGGCCTCTGCAAGAGCAGTTGTAGTGAAGACTTTGAGACAACAGGCTGGAAGGACTTCAGGAGGTTGCATGGTGAGGAAGAGGAGTTTTCTGTAAAGGGGAGGGAAATGGGATGGTGAAAGGGAGGCATGGGGACGTGTAGTCAAGGAGGGGTTTTCTTTACTTTTGAGTTTAAATGGGAAGTAGTTCTAAAAGGTTTTTATACTGTTTGGAGTGATCTTCATAATCATCAGACACTTAGTGATTACCTTTTGTGTGACAAGTGACATCTAAGGTTTGGTAGGATAATTTTTCAGATATCCATATGTGTTTTGTTGAGTGTTTGGATTATAATCTTGTGGAGCATAATGGAAAGAGTTCAGGCCGGGCAGGCAGCCAGCCCGGAATCATATTTTGGTCCTTCAGCTACTAAGCAGGTGATTTTGATGAACCTACTGATCTTTTTGAGCCCATTTCTAATCTGCAAAATGATACCTATTTTAGGTTTTAAAAAATATATACATATGTAAATATTGGATAATGTACTGCACTGACTATTACACCCATGTAGCCTTTAGAGATAGTTTTTCCTTTGATGTTGGATTGTCATTTTATTTTTAATTTTAAAAAATTTGTCACTGTATTTTATTGAAAGAGTCATCTGAACTTGCTACTCACAATATAGACCAACAGGATTAGCATCAGCTGGGAATTTGTTAAAATGCAGAATATGAGGCCCTACACAAGATCTGTAGGCTCAGGACAGATGTGTGACTTGTACGCACATTAAATTGTGAAGGCACTGGTCTAGAAAGCAGGCTCCTGCCCTGGTTTTAGGTGCTCGTGGAGGAGGTGACAGCTTCCACCTTCTAAGATGCTTGCGACCTAAAGGCATTTTCTGTACTTAGTCTTATTGTTTGTAAATGTTTGTGTGAGCAGGTATATGACAAGTAATGGAAGTATTATTATATAGCTTATTCTTCCAGTGTACTCCTGAAAGTATACCTAATGAAAACTCTCCATGTGTGACAACCTTTTCTTGTTCAATTGTTGAAACACAGATAATTAGAAAAGTTGACAAGCAGACCGCGTTACTGGACGCAGATGACCCCGTGTCACAGCTCCACAAATGTGCATTTTACCTTAAGGATACAGAAAGAATGTACTTGTGCCTTTCTCAAGAAAGAATAATCCAGTTTCAGGTATGTTTCTAAATTAAGGTGAAATCTAAAATGTGTTAGGTCAGTAGTATACAGAAACATAAAGCTCTTGTTTACTGTTGATTGCATCCAAATGCATGAAGCTGTGTTCAGATATTTATCCCAAGTCCAGACCCACACGGTCTTCAGACATGGTGATTATCCTGCCCAGGGAAGAACTCAGAACTGTCGCAAATGGTCTCAGAAAACAGTTACCATGTAGCTCGGGGGACAAAAAGCCCCTTGGTTTATCTAAAAGCAGATTTTTGTGTTCAGTGAATCCCCGGAAGTGTATGCATGCATTGTATATGGATGTGCGCGTGTTTGGGGGAGGGTTCGTAATTCTCATCGTATTTATAGTGGCGTCTTCCACGATAGTAATGATGACATGCTTCAAAAGCTAAGTTTCAACTACATTTACTCAGAAGGCTTTCGTGAGGACATTTATGACATGGTAGCTTATTTAATAGGAGAGTCATACTTACATGTGAAACTTGTTTATAAATATCTGGAGACACGGCCACACACAGCCGTCTCCTTAGCCCAGCACTGACAGGCTGGTCCAGGTGTTGCAGTAGGGTTGGGGGTTATTGATTCATCTTGGTTTCTCCTTCAGAAAGTACATAAGTTTCTAGCTGTTTTCTGAACAGGAGAGTCTCCTAAGTCTCTCCCTTTCTAAGGGATCCCTAAAAAGGTTTTTTAAAAAAAAATCCTCATCTGAGGATACGTTTTCATTGATTTCCAGAGAGAGAGAGGTAGAGAGACAGAAACATCAATGTGAGAGAGAAGCATTGATCAGTTGCTTCCCATACTCACTCTGACCGGGAATCAAACCAGCAACCTTTTGGTGAGTAAGACGACACTCCAACCAACAGCCACATGGTCAGGACAGGGTTTCTAAAGAGTTTTAGATAGCTGTTTGCATCACAGATACTGACCTTTTATTTAAAAATTTATACAGGTACTGGTGTACTCTGAAGTGGCTATTCTGAAGGTTATCAGTTATTTAATATGTCACTAAAATATATTATGATAAAAACTGTATGTCAGGTTTTCATGTTAATATCCTATTTGTTTATATAGGGATTGGCAAAGCACCATGCTTTTTGCTTTTTTTAAAATATATCTTTATTGATTTCAGAGAGAGGAAGGGAGAGGGAGAGAGAGGAGCATCAATGATGAGAGTCGTCATTGATCGGCTGCCTCCTGCACGCCCCCGACTGGGGATGGAGCCTGCAACCCGGGCATGTGCCCTGACCAGGAATCAAACTGCGATCTCCTGGATCCTAGGTCGATCCTCAACTGCTGAGCCTGTCTGGGCAGCACCATGCTTTTGAAGTTTATAACTTTCTACTAAATTCTTTTCATGTTAATTCTAATCTATAAATGTTACTTGTTAAAATTGTCTTCTACTGCAATGCATATAAAAATTTCTAAACTTTCTTCATAAGGCCACTCCATGCCCAAAAGAACCAAATAAAGAGATGATAAATGATGGAGCTTCCTGGACAATCATTAGTACGGATAAGGCAGAGTATACTTTTTACGAGGGGATGGGCCCTGTCCTGGCCCCTGTCACACCTGTGCCTGTCGTAGAGAGTCTTCAGGTGAGACCACCTACTCACAAGTTGACTTTTACCTCTTTGTAACTTCTCTTAACTATAACTTAGCCTAATTTTATTTCACAATAAGTTTGCGTTTTCTCCAAATACTGTGTTTTGGGTATTTTGTTATACATTATTGGTTAATAGAAAAACAAAAATAGGAGCCTACTTTTATGCAAGCAAATTTAAATTTAATACCAACTTGTATGTTATCTTGATGTTTTTAGCTCACTTTGTCTTTATAATCGTGATTTAAAAGAAGCATTTTAATTACCCATTTTTCACAAATGATAAGTGAATAAGAAACTAATCTATGCATTTTAATGAGAAATGAAAAGTTTTCTCAGTGTTCGAATTTTCTGTGAATTGTAGTTGAATGGCGGTGGGGACGTCGCAATGCTTGAACTTACAGGACAGAATTTCACTCCAAATTTACGAGTGTGGTTTGGGGATGTAGAAGCGGAAACTATGTACAGGTACTTGGTAAAACTTTTTGCATCCTCCAGAGTTTGGTGGGGGTGGGTATATGAGACTCTTTCCTGATACTGGTTGTAATATATTAAGCAGCCCAGTTTTAAGTTTTAGTTCTAAAATTGGTCATGTATTTGTGTTTCCTCCTCAGATGTGGAGAGAGCATGCTCTGTGTCGTCCCAGACATTTCTGCATTCCGAGAAGGTTGGAGATGGGTCCGGCAGCCAGTCCAGGTTCCAGTAACTTTGGTCCGAAATGATGGAATCATTTATTCCACCAGCCTTACCTTTACCTACACACCAGAACCGGGGCCTCGGCCACATTGCAGTGCAGCAGGAGCAATCCTTCGAGCCAACTCAAGCCAAGTGCCCCCTAATGAATCAAACACAAACAGCGAGGGAAGTTACACAAGCGTCAGCACAAATTCAACCAGTGTCACGTCATCCACAGCAACAGTGGTATCCTAACTACCGTCTTGTTGCCAGGACTTAAACTGACTCTAGTGTGGCAAAATGTTGACAAAGAGAGAGAGAGAAAAGTGAACAATCTTTTGTGGTTTCTTGGGAAAACTTTTCATACCAGGTGATACTATTCAAAAGCCCCATTACCTGCAAGTGCTGATTTGAAGTGCAGAAGCCACAGTAAAACAAACAGAAAAAACATCAAAATGTACAAACTATTGGAAATCGATTTTTTTCAGCTGTTATTTTTGGTTGGTTTTTGTTTGTTTTTGTTTAAATGGGCAAGAAGTAGAGATGTGGCTGGAGTAAAAGTTAATGGAACTAGAAGACACAAATCTAACATAGTTTTTATGGACCAAGGAACTTGTATAAGCTTTAGTAAAGGTACATTTTCACCATGCCTTTTTTATCCCGCCATGTGTAGTACACCTTTGTTACCAAATAGGTTCTTGTCCCTGCCCTCTGAGCTTTTGCTCGCAAGTGCATTCAGGCTGCAAGCCTGATCGTGCTTGCTGAGTCTCCTTACCATACTCTTCCAGGTTTTTATGGTCTAAGGCTGGAACTGTTCTTTTTTTTTTTTTTTTAAAGCTTAAATCTTATGACTCTTCATGAGTTGAAATTGTTTTGATTTCAGCAAGTCAGATCTTGTAAAGGCCTACATACTTTTTTTAAGATTATATGAAGTCTGTGCAAAAGCTTTAAGAAATGCCTCTGCCTTGCCTGCAATACATGCAACGTACGTGAACTAGTCTCCATTCTCAGACATTTGGCAATTTTTCTGTGTTTTCTTTAAAAAAAAAAAAAGTATTTATAGCGGTTATCCAAGTGGTTCTAACATTTACATGGAATTAAATGTAGCCATTTGGTCATAATGCGTTAGTGGCATAGAACATGTTGAAGTGTTCTCTCCCCTACCCCATCGTACATGTGTCGCCATGTTTCAGGATGTGTTCAGGTTCCCCTCCCTCCTGATCTTGTACATAACTTGTATTATGTGTAAGTTAAACATTTTATTTTGAACTTGTAATGTTCCCAGTGATTTCATTCAGTAGGGTGTTTTCTGCCTTCTTGGCACATAATAAAAAATCATAGAAGTGTTTGCTACCAGGTGGTAGATGGTGCCCTTATTGTATGAGGAAAATCTCAGCAAAAGCATGTTTTTATTTACTTTTTTTTTGGTAGCCTAGTCCAAGATGTCATTGTAACCTTAAAACAAGATGCTCTTATTAGATGGTGAACTAAAATAGCTGGAAGGCAGTACTTTAGAAACAGATAGTTGTGAGATTATAAAAATGCAAGTGTAACTTATCTTTCTGTTTCTCTCTCTGCTTTTTTTTTTTTTTTTTCCCTTTGGTCTTTCCCAGAGCTGAGCGTCTCCACAAATGTCTCCTACTCAGAAAACAGAAAACATTTCTTTACCCTTCACTTAAGATTTGGTTGCATTGGGGCTGTGCTGGCCTTGCGGGCTAAGCTCACCGTTTCACATTGCTTCCACTTCTGTACTTTGGTCATGCCTCTGTTCAGTTCCTTAGAAATTGCAGCAGACTTGTTGGACTACATTTAGTACAGGAACCATGTGTGCAATGTTGTAGGACACAGCCTGGTAACACAATCATCCTTCTTAGAGTAAAAACTACCTCTAGACTGTGGTAAGCTTTTTACTGTCCCATAAAACAGGAGCCAAAGTACCTTATGAACGCAAAACTGTAAGTTCAGTATTTCCATACAGAACATTGTCTTTCTGGTGTCCTGGGCTATTTTGAAAAAGTTTCCATCAGTAGATTTTTTCAACATCGCTAGTAGCATTTTTTTTTCCAGCTTTGCTATCGTCACTTATTCTTTTGCTCAGACTATGTCATTGTAAATACGATTCCTAACATCTTTAAATCACTTTTCCTCAGTTTTCAAGGGGAAGTCATTTATTTGTAAAGCACGTAAGTGGTTAAATCAGAGTTACTGTGGTTTTCTCTTTCTGCAAGCCTTTTTAATTACCGCAGGCTGTATTAGACTATATATAGCCTTCTCTCCAGATCTGCTCTAGTCACTAGCTTCTCTCTTGTAAGCTAATCCCGCCTCACTCTTTAAATCGTGTCAGTGATCAAGGGCAGAATTCAGTGTGGCCTTATTATCTCTCTTTGTTTTCACTGTTTACTGGCTTTTTCTTACAGACTTGCTTATTTCTGAGTAGTATTTATTCCCTCTGTTGAGTCATGCCAGCAGCCTTTACACAGGGCTTTCTGTTCAGTGTACAGATATTTTCAGTCCTGCTTTGTTTTTAATGGTTCACAAGTTTCTCCACTTCGCAGGTTTGGTATTTGGTTACAAAGTTACATTAAATTAACTGATATCAGATGAGCTACTTCTGAAGAACAAACTATTTTCCCCCCAGCTTTGCAGCTCAAAATAATTCTTCAAGTTTATTAAAATTAACTTTCGCTTTTCTGTTATTTAAGTATATCTTATTTCTGCTGTTTCTTTTAATAAGATATTTGAAATATTAGCCTATAAACTCTTCCTGTTTGTTTTTCTGAAAGTCCAAGAATATACTTACATAGGCATTTCCCCTGCTATATTTTGTCATTCTGCACACCACAAACTAAAGACTGAAATGATTTGTCTGTTGTAGTTACTGTTAAAGCAGTTCTTTTGTCAGCTGCTTAAAAAAATCTTTTTCATGGATTTGTAAATCATTCTAGTGTTTAATTTATAGGAGCCTTGCCCTCTCTTTGTAGCAGAAGGTTGGTCTCCCTCCCCCACGGTGGCTTTGTTAGAGATGCCAGTCATTTTCCATCGTGAAGACTCTTAGAATGGCAACCACTTCAGTTAAAGGATAGTATGTTTGAGTTCTTGATTTTTAAATTCTGTTTTAGAAGTGTATTTTATGCTCTCATGATTCTATGCAGTTTCTAAAAATATGCATAGAAGCTGAGTCTCATCCAGTATGTTTTATTAGTTCCATTGAATTGATCACACATTGGGAAGGCAAGCTAAAGGCTTTAAATGGAAAATGAAAATGGCCCTTTGATTTTGAATGACTTCAGAATTGAACACTAGTGTAATATTTAACCTGCTGCTGACTTTCCTTAAACTGTGGCAACTGAAGGCATCTTCATATTTATATTAATTAGTGAACTGTTTGTCTCTCTTACTGCACAGACTTATTTGCGATCATAACTGGTTAGTTTTTTTATTTTTCTAATGAAACTGGTACTATCTGTGCCCTCACAAAAAATTCCCAATGCAGTTTTTGAAAACTAAACTAATTAGTCATGTTTAACCAGATAATCCATGGGGGAGGGAGGTTCCCTTTTGAAACAAAATGCTACTCAATCATTAACCAAGTTACTTACTTTTGATTTTGAAAGCAGCTGTTTCTGAGGAGTACTGAACAAATGTGTGTACTTTTCTGTGCCAGACTTTTGACTTTGTTTCAAGCACTGTAATGTGGGTTGGATGGTTAGAAACAATAATATATTAGGGTTTCTATTTAACCCTTTCAGGACTGAACTGTATCCCCTTCATTAATTTTCCCTGTGTTGTGATAAATGTTTGCCAGCATTCAGTACTGTGTTGGTCCAAATGTAGGTTAATATGCTCATTTTTAGCTTATTTCTTGTACCTTGCAGCATGCTCTACACATTCAGTCCTTAAGGGGTTTATTTTACAAACTGTGCGCCTGTAAGGTTTGTTAGCAATAAGATAGAAAATTGAGCAAGTTTATACCATAATTTTGTAGAAAAAAAGAATCTGCTCAGTTCAATATTTCATTCATGAGAAACCTGCAATACGGGCAGTTTCAAGGAATAAATAAAAAGGAAATGTAAACCATTGTAAAAGTCTTCTGTTGAATGTGCCTGATGTGTGCATTATTGTCTTGGTTTCGGAATACTTCACAAAGACAGAATTAAATTCCATATTAAGGTTTGCGCATTTACAGTCCTTCCTCTCTCCATCACAGCAGAGTGGTAGCTGTGCTGGTTTCCTCTCAGTGTTTTATTTTTTTTTTTAATTTTTTAAAATATATCTTTATTGATTTCAGAGAGGAAAGGCGAGGGAGAGAGAGAGATAGAAACATCAATGATGATGAGAGAGTCATTGATAGAGCCCGCAACCTGGGCATGTGCCCTGACCGGGAATCGAACCCTGCGACGCTTAACTACTGAGCCACGCCCGGCCGGGCTCTCTCAGTGTTTTAATTGTGCTGCTTCGTGTAAAGAGAGAGGTCTCTTTCCTCCTTTGTAAATGGGGAAGTGGGCTTTGTCACTCTGGGGGCCTGTCTCCCAATTCAGGAACATTTCAGGCTAATCTCAACTAGACTGGAGAATATCTAATTGCAACTTGCTTAATACAAGGTTGCCATTTGGCCTGGTGTACTAAAGAACAAGTGGTTGTGCTTTTGCTGGGGGCTCCTAATTAGAGAGAGTGCCTATTTTGTTTAATAGGGAAACAGTAAAAGGGGAAGTTATATATTTTTTAAATCATAGTTTATTTCTTATCTGACCTTCCTCCAAAGAAAAAAGTATTGAATAAAGTTACCAGGATTTTGCTAAAGACATCTTGCTCTAAAAATAGTAATTATTAAGTAAGGAACAATTTAGTTGGAATTTGAGTTGTGAGGCCTCTAAAAGGCTAAGATTGATAGTGGTTACTTGGCTTAGAATTCAGAAGAGCAGAGTAAGCTTGTACCCCTTGCAGTGCATGATCACTCTCTAAGCAGTCTTATGAAAGATCATTGTGTGCATGCAGGCATATTGTCATTGACCCCTAGATGGTTGTCAGTGACAGGGATGGAGAGGGCAGGCTGCACATGCTTCTAGTGGTGAGTGATCCCAGAAGGCAGTCGTCGTCTCTAAAACAAAAACAAACTAGAAACACTAAATAGAAACCCTAAAAAAGTTTAGTGCTGGAAAACACCAAGGGAGACAGATTAAGTTGATGCATATAAACTACAAATGAGGTGATTCATCTTGACTTATACGTCAGGTCCTGAAGCCGAAGGCCAAGAGACAGAACTGCCATGGGCCCTGTCAGGACCCGCAGGACTGGACAGTTACACCCCGTTCCTTGTGCTAAGGTCGGGCAGTTCATGTGCCTGGCACATAGGTGGTCAGTAGTTAAAGGAGTTGTATACACTAGAAATCATGACTCATCTTGGTTTCTAGAAAAGCAGACATACTCTTACAGAAAAGGGCTGGGTTTTAACTACAAGAAACATTTATACTAAATAATTATTTTACAAGGATTTGATTTTTTTTTTTTTTTTTTTTGCTTTGCGGAAGTAGTACTTTAAATGTGCTATTCTATGGAAAAAAATTTAAAGGTAAGTATAAGTTCAGGTGTATATCAAGTTCTCACTAGCATGATAAAGGTAGTCCCTGTTCTTAATCTTATATTAACTTGAAAGTGTCCAGATACCAGGTGTTTGGATTTTTAAATTATAATTGTAATGCCCGGACCTCTTGGCTGATGTTCTTAATCCCCCTATACATATAAATATGTGCTAAATTACACAGCTCTACAGAGTCATCCTGGATACTTCAAAACATTTTCCGTCTTCTGGGTGAAGATGATGGATCTTAATCTCTTTCGTAGCCAAGTCTAAGGAGGACAAGCGTTAGGGGGACCAGCACTCAGGAGACCGGAGAAGGAAGGAATGCCCCCCACCTGTGATGATGCTCAGGTTACAGGCGCCACCTGCCACTGGTTTATCTCAGAATCAGCCACATTCTGCAGCTCTCCACTGTTCATTGGTCTCATTTG